AAACAAACTAAATGAAATAAATATAAATAATCAATTTTAATTGATTATTAATTTCCCTTATTGTAATTGTAAACGAGTAGTCATTATGCTGCTCAAATGAAATTCGCCTGGCGTATCAAATGTAATGAGCAAAAGGATTAATATTAAGAGGCGATAAAGGAGACGCAATTATGAGAGCAATCATAAATCATGCGCGGGTGCAACTGATGTTGACGCGCATGTTCGAAATTATTTCTGCTATGACTAGGAGAAAGGCAGTAACTGACAGGTCGAGGATTTATATTTCTTCAACTCTTTTCGTCATATTAATGTGTAACAATAATCTTCATGTGTTTTTATAATTAAACTTAAAAAAATTGAAATATCTTTAAGTATGATATAAATAAGATAAATTAAATTTGAATCACTCATTAATTAGTTTAAACATAAATATATAATTAATAATTCTAAAAGATTTTATTGTTAATTTGTTGATGGTATTAAGTTTTTTAAGACCTCATCTTCCTTATCATTCGGTATAAAAATATAATACGTTTAATGATATATAACTATTATTTAATTTGACTTACCAGATTACTTCAACTGCTGCTAAAATTTCCTGTGTAAAAATAGTCATTTCGGCAAAGTTACATCACTTACTGCCTTTTACCTGATCACAGAGATTTCATTGACGTTTCCGGAAGGTCTGAAATAAACGACGAATCGCGCGAAATCACGTTCTTCGTAGTGAGAAAGGGAGCGGGCCGGGGCATAAGAGGATACAAAGTAGCCAGCAACCGCATTACACCAAACCCCGAAGCCAGATAAGAAGCACGGAAATCACCACTGTTAGTAGGAAGTCTTGCGGGCGAGCGTGCTCGCAAGAGTGCGAATTCGAATATGTTCGTGCTATACCTGCCTTCCGCGCGTTATTTACAGAATAGGGATGTCGAGGGATTATCAAATCAGTAATCTGGAAGCGACATCTCTTCAGCCAAATTCATTAGTGAAAATATAAATGTACATTCTTCCCAAATGTGTTAAATTTTGAGAAACACAATTTAAAAAACTTTCACAAGAGAATTTTTTTTTTAAATTACCCTTGTATCAAGTGAAATTAAAACACTAAAAAGTAATTTATAAAAAGTAAAACACTAATTTTAATAAAAAAATATAACACATGTTACTTCTATGACTTCTAAAAGTAACAGTAGAATTATTAAAAATAAAAATGTCTTTTCCTTGTTATCAATTTGATACTACTATATTTGATATTAATTAATGCAATAATTGTAGATGTGCCAGTTTTACATTTCTGGATAATTTGGAGACTAATTGAACTGAAGAGCGATTTTTTTGAATATTTTAATTCAGGCTATTACTTACAGGCTGAAATAATTTAATGATTTTATTTAAGATCTTCGAGAGATTGCTGTTATTTATTACTTGGCATCTTAAATAAAAAATAGCAAATAATATTGAAAGACATTATTTTAATTGGAAGTATAACGAGTTGTACTAAGGAGCTCAAATTAAAATAAAATCAAGATAAAACTACCAAATTTCATTTATTTCTTTAACGAGCACAAAATGATATATTAAATATACCAAACAACTTATTTAAAGAATTTTTATACTAAAATTATTTTATGAAATTCATGCTTAAAATAATCGAATTATAAAAAAAGAAATATTTTTTTTATATAATTATAACTAGAGAAAGAAGAGAAAACTCTATATATTTTATCTTGAAAAATTTCAAATTTCTTTATACGAATTTAAAAATAAATATAAATTTAAATATAAAATAATTTAACACTAAAACTTTTAACATTAAAAATTTTTAAACTTACAATTTTAATAAAACATCAAAGAAATTTTAATCTGCAATAAGCATTTATCATTAAAAATGCAAAATATCGCAAAAACTTGGCAAAAATATAAAATTTCTTGTATTCTCAATTTTTAACATTAATGTTTTTTCCTTTGGCGCTTTCCTATAGATTGTCCTATAACAGCATATACGCGTACGTTCAACAATCTCTCTTCCAAATACATTTTTTGTTTCGCTAGTTTCTCTCTCTCTCTCTCTCTCTCTTTCTCTCTTTCTCTCCTCATTCTATTTTTGTCGGCCAATTCTCTTCGACTCTCTGAGCGCGACAGGGTCGAAAGAGCTGAACGGTTCGTTAAATGCCTTTTAGTTCGCCGTTTTGCGAGTCAGTTTTTGAAGTGACTTGCTGATAACACCAAAAAAGCTTTCAGATACATATCGGTTTCGGATATTAAAGATGAGTATACACTTAACATTATTCATTATAAGCATACGCTTTCAGAAAGTAATAGTTTCTCTCTCTATGGTATAGTCATGAAAATCTCTGTAAATTAATTTTTATACAAAGAAGATTGCTTTCAAGAAATAAAATTGTCTCCTAGTCATAGCAAATTAATTCTATGTACAAATAAAAAAAATTGATTTATTTAAAAATTCTATCTTTATAAATCAAAAGAGTAAAACCTATTTGAGCGTGTATTAGACTTTATCTGTGAAAACAACAAAAGTAAACTAACAGAACTGACTATTTTATTTACATCCTACACAACAAATATAAAAAAAAAAAAAGAAAACGCATTGCATAGCAGATAAAATTCTATTGCTCAATTGTGCTAAATTGAATATATTATAAGCATGAGATTGGGGATCAAGTAACTACATTTAGCGTTAAATGCGTGACGAACCAAAGTCTATTTACACGCGCTGAAGGAATCAAGAGAGATAGATAGAAATTCTATGTAATTTACGTGGCAAGATAATGATTAACCGTAGCAGCCTTTCAATTGTAAAAGAGTAAGTTAAAGGAGAGTAGGCTGAGTCCTGAGTTACAGACAAGAAATAAATGGTAATAATTACTTAAATTGCAGATTATATTTGTGTTATTTATAATCATACTGAAAAAGAATACAAGCGAGAATAGAATATATAGAAAAAAGAGAGAAAAAAGGAAGAGGGAAAAGGAAGAGAAGAGAGAGAGAGAGAGAGAGAGAGAGAGAGAGAGAGAGAGAGAGAGAGAAATGCAATTTATCGAAAATAATTTTGGTATCCTATAAATTATCTCATATGCTCATATGTTGAGCTTTATGCATACAATATCAGAAAACGTCAGATATTGATCGATATACTTTTAGATCAAATATTGCATCGTGATTGCTATATTATAAAGAAAAAAATAAAAGGGGGAGAGGAAGATGCACATTTCTCTTTCGGAGATTCCTACTTTTAGTTTCTCGGCTGCCCTATAGAAAACATAATAACTAATATTTTTATAAAAATTGAAATGTTCTAATTTTTGCAAATACTACTAGTGTTTTGTAACATATCATCAGTTCTCTTATCTTTATCGAATAAGATAAGGGGAAAAGTGATGAAGTGAAGAGATAATTCGATTAATTCTCGAATTAAATATAAAACAACGTGGTATCTGCAAAAATGATAAACATAATGCAAGATCGTTACATCTCAATCTTCATAAGTGTTATATCAGTTACAACGATCCCACGGGGCAGCCACTTCACCTCGCTTCGTTATCGACGTGTATCTCTGGTTTGGTGTATAAGCGGCGTTTGGATACCTTGCTGAGCGGGATGCCTATTGTGGTTGCTAGGTGCCATCATGTGCATCTGGTGCGCCCCGACCGGCGATCTCAGCGACAAATTGTTCAGGTTCACGTTTATCGAAAGATTCGTATTGTTACAGGTGGCGGTCAGGTTGTTGTGATTGTTCGGCGGTGATGTCGCACCGATGTTGGTACCCACATTGGTGGCTGCGTGAGCCGACAGACCGGAGCTGTCGGTGGTCGGGGCCGAGGGGTTCGACGAGGTGTTGTGCGAGGCGAAGTCCTTGCCACCGTTGGCGCCGCCGGTGCCGCCGCTGCCGCCGGTGGAGCCGGCCGAGCCGCCCGTCACCGTCTTCGAGCACCTCAGGCACTTCGGTAGCCAGGAGTGACGGCGCACGAACTTCCGGTACTCCTTCCTCACCTGCAAGAGCGAAGCAGAGCCCGCCCAACCCAACGAAACGAGTTTAACGGTGCGAGAAAAAACTAAAGGCCTGTGCGAGACAGCGTGCGGATACGTCGTGTGCATCTCTGCGAGTCTGATACATGGAGATTGCAGACTGCAGGCTGCAGACGGTCTCATGCTGAAGCCTCATGATAGCCATGATATGACGGATAAAATTACAAGTTGCAAGAATAAAAGATAAAGGGAGAATCGCTTTTTTTATATTTTACTCATGTCTCTTGTTATCTTTGGGCAAAATTGAAAAGGTCGTCTGCAGCAATTTGTGAGAGTATCGTGCGATCTAAGTTTGGAGGCTCGAAATTTTGGTGCCGATTTAACGAGAAATAAGAATAATATCGGTGCCTCTCGCGATAATAACAAAAAATTTTCAAATTCTCGAAAAAAATTATAACGAGCCTGCTACGCAGGGTGATGAGAGTAAACGCGAAATAAACGCCAATAACTTGTATTGCTACAGCGCTTTATTAAACAGATCATTTTCTCATCTCCATGTTCTCTTTTATGAGCAAAACAATGTTAACATGATGATCTAGCAATCTTAATTAATATCAATCGTGATCGATACGTTAAACTTAAATGCTAAAAAGTTCTTCAAATTTTAAATTTATATACAAATGAGAATATATAAAAAAATTTATAAAAAATTATTACAACTCACTACATATAATTTTATTCTAATAAAGTATGAAGTTTACACAGTTTTCCAAGCAACGTAACATTTCTATTACAAATCATTCGTAAAAAATATGTAATAAAAATGATCGAGTTCTTACAGGAAGTGTGTCAATGCAAAATCAAATTGTCCTTATAAAAAATTGCGCAACGTTACTCTCAAGTGAATAAATAAAATTTATTACATATTTTACGAATAACTTCCAATTTTATCGTTTGTATTTCTCTCTCCGGAAACATCCAACGATGTTGCCGGAACAGTCTAAATCAAGGCAGACTTCTGTACCCCGACGTATTCCCTTACCTTCTCGTTCTGTACGCAATGGAACACAAAGATAAACAGCCCCTGGAGACTATTCAATACGGTGAAGATGTACGCCATCACGACGGACTCTTGGTTTAAGTAGAGAAGCCCGAACGTCCAGGTCAGACCTAGTAGAAACACCAGCACGATAGCGCCCCGCAGCCAGGCCCTGATCAGAAGATACAGAATAATAAATTACATCGGAGAACAGCCAGCCAAGTTTCTGTTGTACAATACAAATCGCGATGGCGGCGCTTAAAGAGGACCAACGTATCGTCGGGGCGGACGCTCCGATGGAATATTATTTTCGCAGAGAGAAGATGAAATCTCGCAAAACATCATGTGTCGTCTAAGGAAACGTCTTGGATCGATCGTGTTATTTAAATTTGTCTGTTCGCTTCAGCGATTTAAAAAAAAAGTCTTAAACTGTTGTACGAAGATTCATCTTAATAAGGGCAAGATATTTTCTCCAACTTCAAGAACAAAAGAAGAAAATATTATTGTTAATAGATTTCCAATCTTTTTAACCGATTTCATCATGTTTTATCACGCTATATATTTACTGCGTTCGGATTCTTAAATAAATTGTAATGTTACAATTTTTATTTCCTATCTCATTTGCTATTTATAAAAGAATAAAGATAATTGCAATTGATCTCAGGTTTCCTTAGTCGATTGTAAAAATACAGTTTTAATATTTGACATTACGATATCGAAAAGAAAAAAATAATACGACCGTCACGTAGCGTCGTGAGACACGCGAGAGTTTGTCGAGGGCGACATAAAAACATTGCGATATTATGCTGAATTGGAGTTTTTATTTTCACAAGCAGCGCGAGCGCGCCGCTTTGAGCGTCGCTGGAATCGCGGCGTTTTATCTAAACCGTTATGATTAGAACATGTGGCATTATACACAGGTAGGCGGATATATCTCTACGGTACTTTCACGTCTATCTACTTGTAAATCAGGCGTAATACCTGAAACTAAGGAGAATACTACATGCAGTGAATTATCGTGTCTACTCACAGGAAATGCAAGTGCCATAATAAATATATAACAAGTATTGTAATTATCAAAAACATATATCGTCCGTAATATCAATTTCAGTCACATAAGAACGTCACGACACAAAAATTTTGTTTATAAGAGACAATTAAAAAACAACAAAAAATTATCTGTCGCAAAAATGATTTTATTCAAAAGATGGAAAAAAATTATAAAAAATTCTAATTAAAATATTAATTGTAACATATTATTAATCATATGAAATAAGTATTTATAAAAAAAATATTTTTCCTACGACATAAATATAAGCGATAAGCACAATTGATATAAATATAAATTGAAAGATTATTAGATACACAATATATTGTTGTAATTAATTGAAGGAATAAATGTACAAAGTCATATTTTCAGAAACTTAATTCTTACACAAATAAAATTGTTAGTTTTTTATTATAATATATTCCAAGCTAATTCTATGTTATATTTTAAATTAAAATTCAGAATTTTTAAAGTTTTTACAAAATTAAATCATTTCATTACAATTAATTTAAATATTCGTAAGTTTCAAATATTGTAAACGTGAACGTATTGTTGTCATACATTTATTCCTTCAATTATTGTATACAATAATTAATTAATTACATTAATTACAATATTACACAAATGCAGCACTGGCGTTTCCTATGAATGTCACGATATCATGTGGTGGAGAATGTTTTGATGTATGATGTGAGAGACTATAAAATCTATATATAT